TGGCTCTTAATGTCTAATGGATTAAGGACTCTATTTCCAGTGAGGTTTAACAGTAAGTCGTGGGTATGCGGGCCGACAATATAGATACCTTGATGAGACCGAGTCGGACAGTGGCATCTGAACACCGAGAGGTTCGCGCCCTGGTCAACTCTCTTATCTGGAATCGAATCAATAAAATGCACATTGTGTGGTCTTCTTGGCTATAAAATGAAAACGAGCTTATTATTTGATTATCAGGGATATGTGGTGCGTATTTAGCTCTGTTTAAATATGCAGACATCTCTTCAAAGGTCTCCGGACGATCTCCGGCGCCATCTTGGGCCGTTAACCTTGTTAACAAGGACAAGCCTCAGCAGTGGAGTCACTGCAGGTGTCCGGCGCGTCAACTCCTGAGGCTGTAATCGAGGTGATAATTACACACCAGTTAATGGCAAGAACAGGTAATTTAGTACACCAGTGACGCTAGTTTGGTCGGTTGTGTAGGGCCGAGGCCGGTCGCATTAGTATTCCCAGGGAATGCCAACCCCGACTCAAACCTGTGATTTTTGCCATGTGGTCTTTTTACGGTTCCGCCTTAATACCCTACAATTAACTCGTTCATTATCGCTAACAGCTCACAGCGTATTTGATGAGACAACCGACAATGAGTTTCAGGTCATCCACATGTACGGGTCATTCCAGGTGCTTTATCAATATGAATATGATCTTAATTGAAGTATTTGCACGACTGAATTTTGACTGCCATAGGTTAGAGTGGGTGTCTTTTTCTCCTCAGTGTCGGTGAATTTGAACTCCAAATAACATACACTTAAGGACTGATTTTCCGTGCGTTGGCTGCGACCATAAGGACTGCAGCGCGTTAATGACCTCGTTCGCTGATGGTCCACACTGTTTGTGGACCCAACCGGCCTTGCTAGTTGAGTCCAAAGATGATATAGTTCATCTTTCTATTTTCAGTAAAGGTGAATGGAAATGAAGCAGTCAGCAGCAGCGATGTTGCGAGTCTGCCAACTTGATGTTGCTTCTGAGGCCCCAAAATTCTGTTTCAACAGAGATGAATCTTAGTAGTGTGTGTGTGTGTGTGTGTGTGTGTGTGTGTGTGTGTGTGTGTGTGTGTGTGTGTGTAAGTACTTACCTAATTGCGATTGTGGCTGGTTGAAATGCATCTTTAGTCACGGCGACACATGTTTGAGGTAATGTATGTGTACGCGTTCAAGAGACCTAACCGAAGCTTCCATTTAATAAATTTTAAGAAAATATTTAGATTTAATTTTCGCACTTAAGTGTAAAACTCAGCGCTCAATAATTTCGCCGTATCTTCCATTTTTGAATCACTAATACAAGTTTTGCTTAAAATTTACAATCCTTTCTCAATATTTATTTGCAAAATTTTGTTAATACTTTTCATTTATACAATATTTGCGCTAAGTATATTGTTTTGGCCAGAACATATTCTTGTTATGTAACATACCACGCGCAAGGTATTCTTGGTAGCATATCTTGCAGATGATCTCTCTTGAAGTATGTATATATATATATATATATATATATATATATATATATATATATATATATATATATATATATATATATATCAAGGTACTATATCTGGGAAAACATACCTCAGACTTGATAACCCGTGAAGCATATCTCCATGATTTGGCCCATAAGAGCATATCAGGAGTATTCTGCGGCGTGAACAACACTCATCATACCTCGCATAGCATATTTTTAAGAGAATGAGACACTCAGAGTATAGAATGCGAGCGACTCTTGCATAGTATATCTTTGATATTATAACTTACGGTATATATATATATATCCTTGATTGCATGTCTTGTATAAGGTATATCTTTCAGTATATCTGAAGCATTATATATTTAAGTATATATTATTTTCATGGTTCACGTTATGGTTCTAAATAGTCTGGAATAGTAAGTCTGTTAGGCTTATCGAGGTTCCACCCACCCCAAGGCCAAATACTGACTTTCTTCTGTATGCACTTCACAAGAGCAGCTGTCTATCTTTTCGAATCCTGTTTAAAACTAGGTGAACCAGGTGGAAGGAAACGTGCCCAATCGTCTCTGTCCTGCACCATGGATTGAAACTGAGATCTTTTTAGTTGTGGGCCGGCGACGTAGACTACTGCTCAGTGTATATTTAAGCACTAATTTGGCTATATATAATTCTGTATATTTCAGTATATCTCTGGCATTAGATCTTTCAGTATATATTCGGCCATAAATCTTTCAGTATCCTTCAGGTATTATACCACTAGAAGTATACTTTGTGCAACATAACGCTGGTTGTGAATCTTTTTGTCAACAAAAACTGACAACATATCTTTTGAGTCCACATATCAACGTGCCTTACATCACATTTTGTAAGCTTACTACTTGCAACTGATTTGTTGCAACATATCCTCCAGAACATATCAAAGCCTTCAGAGTATATCTGGTAGCATAGTCCCCAGAACATATCTGGTAAGATAACTTACATAGCATATCTGGCAAGATAGCCTGCAAAGCATATCGACACCATACCTCATTGAGTATATCTTGCGCACTAAATTCCTGGGAGGATATATCGGCTGATTAGTGCTGAAATATATTTGTTCTTTCAGTTATTGAACGACATAGCTTGGTGGGCGTCGCTTGGTTGAACATATCGTTGAACGTATCGTTGGTTGAACATATCGTTGAACGTATCGTTGGTTGAACATATCGTTGAACGTATCGTTGGTTGAACATATCGTTGAACGTATCGTTGGTTGAACATATCGTTGAACGTATCGTTGGTTGAACATATCGTTGAACGTATCGTTGGTTGAACATATCGTTGAACGTATCGTTGGTTGAACATATCGTTGAACGTATCGTTGGTTGAACATATCGTTGAACATATCGTTGAACGTATCGTTAATAACTACTGACCATAAGTTACCCAGCCGTGATAGGCTTTGTAGCTAACCTGAGCTACAGCTCTATATCTTTTACAAGAGTTGTATAAAGAGTTGTTGTTAGAGTTAAGTTGTATATCTTTATACATATGTTGTATCTTTTCAAACATTTGTTTTATCGTTCCAGACATTTGCTGCATATTTTCAAACATCTGTTGCATCTTTTTATACATTTGTATATTTTTTATACATCTCTTAATTGTATCTTTTTATACATCTGTATTTTTATACATCTCTTGATTGTATCTTTTTGCAAAATATATTGTATCTTTTTGTTTATCTGTTGTATCTTTTTAAACATCTGTTGTATCTTTCTAAACATCTGTTACATACATTTAAACGTTAGTAGTATCTTTTTATATATGTCGTATCTTTTTAGTGTTTGTTGAATGTTTTAAACATCTGTTGTATCTGTGAATATCTGTTATTTTTTTTAAATATGTGCTGTTTCTTATATATTTATTTTATATTTGTAAATATATGCTTTTTCTTGAAATATCTATTGTATTTGATAGCTTTCTCTTATATCTTTTTAATATCTTTGCTTGCTACTGCAGTTATCCAGGTGTATATGTTAGTCTTCTTTGTGTCTATGGCTCTTTCCTTTCTCGCGTATCTTACGTTTTGTATAATTTCTGTATTTCTGTGAATTTAATCTTACTCTCTGCGTGCTCACCTGTGTCTCCTTCATCTGTGTCTGTTGGATTGTCTGTTCATCTGTGTGGTATTCCAAGGGGGCTTGTTGGGGTAGGAAAGGAGGAGGAGGAGGATGGGTGGTAGTAGTAGTAGGAGGAGTATGGGTAGTAGTAATGGTAGTTGGAGGAGGAGAATGGGTGGTAGTTGAAGGAGGAGAGAAGGCGCCCCATGAGGTGGGTATACTGATGGTGACCCTGTAGCCAGTTTCACGCTCTGCCAAGCTAAACTGGCCTCACCCCCCTTCCCACAGTCGCTCTCTCATTCCTCCTTACTCCTTGCCCCTCCCCATCTTCCTGCTCCTTCCCCTCCTCTTGCTCCTACTCCTGCTGCTCCTGCTGCTCCTGCTGCTCCTGTACTAAATAAATCACTTTAAGTCGCAGGCTGGAACAAATAAATATAATAAATTCAAATAGGGAAAAATTACACTTAAAAACGAGAAAATGAGTTACAACTTGCAACATCAATTCTGCATTTCAGAAATTGAATCTTAAAATGGTTGACAGTGAAATACGATTTAATAAACGTTCTTTGTGTATTTTTATGAGATTTAAAAAAACTATTTTGTGTATTTTTATATGATTTAATAAAATTATTTTGTGTATTTTAAAACGATTGCGTTGGTCTTTTCAGTGACTCATACAGAATATTTTTGTACAAAAATTAATACATAGGAAGTAAATTAAGTAAAATAGTTTTTTATTTGTAAATTTAGAACATATTATATATATATATATATATATATATATATATATATATATATATATATATATATATATATATATATATATATATATATATATATATATATATATCCTTTCGGTTGTGACCCGACTTCGCAGACTACTGCAACACACCTGGCTCGTGCAAGATGTGTCCCCTGCACATGTGACTGGTCTTTCCTCACATCCATAGTTAGCTAGAACAAATATGTTGTCTTCTACACATCCGACCTGGCTTCTTTTGAATAATTTTTTTCTGAAATACAACTGATTCCCATTTGCCCTCCACATGCCCACTGGTCATACAAATAATACATTTGACCCCCACACACCTGGCTACTCGAGTATACATACTTGTCTTCCTTACAACTCTTGCATACTGCGTCATACACCTGGTACACGCCACAACAGCCCCTGATGTGGTCACCATTTGCAAGGGTTGGTGGTCAACACTATCTTAAAGAGACGTTGATGTATCACAAGCGGTGTGTCTGCGCGCTAACTACTTGTGTCAGGGTTCAGACCGAGAAATTGATCACGTCATATCGTATAATTAAACGCTTTTCAATTTCACGCTAACTATCGTTAAAGGCGTGGCTTGTTGAGTTCCTGCACTCCGGTCCTTTTTAATTATGGCTCTCTAATGCATTTCGGTGTCTGCGTGCGAGTCTTAAAGGTGGAGGGGTGGCTTGTGCGGCGTCTTGGGGGCTTGGGCGGCATCTTGGGGGCTTGTGCGGCGTCTTGGGGGCTTGTGCGGCGTCTTGGTGGCTTGTGCGGCGTCTTGGGGGCTTGTGCGGCGTCTTGGGGGCTTGTGTGGTGTCTTGGTGGCTTGTGCGGCGTCTTGGTGGCTTGTGCGGCGTCTTGGTGGCTTGTGCGGCGTCTTGGGGGCTTGTGCGGCGTCTTGGTGGCTTGTGCGGCGTCTTGGGAGCTTGTGTGGTGTCTTGGGGGCTTGTGCGGCGTCTTGGGGGCTTGTGCGGCGTCTTGGTGGCTTGTGCGGCGTCTTGGGAGCTTGTGCGGCGTCTTGGGGGCTTGTGCGGCGTCTTGGTGGCTTGTGCGGCGTCTTGGGGACTTGTGCGGCGTCTTGGGGCTTGTGCGGCGTCTTGGTGGCTTGTGCGGCGTCTTGGGGCTTGTGCGGCGTCTTGGGGGCTTGTGCGGCGTCTTGGGGGCTTGTGCGGCGTCTTGGTGGCTTGTGCGGCGTCTTGGGGGCTTGTGCGGCGTCTTGAGGGCTTGTGCGGCGTCTTGGGGGCTTGTGCGGCGTCTTGGGGGCTTGTGCGGCGTCTTGGGGGCTTGTGCGGCGTCTTGGGGGCTTGTGCGGCGTCTTGGGGCTTGTGCGGCGTCTTGGGGGCTTGTACGGCGTCTTGGGGCTTGTGCGGCGTCTTGGGGGCTTGTGCGGCGTCTTGGGGGCTTGTGCGGCGTCTTGATGGCTTGTGCGGCGTCTTGGGGGCTTGTGCGGCGTCTTGGGGGCTTGTGCGGCGTCTTGATGGCTTGTGCGGCGTCTTGGGGGCTTGTGCGGCGTCTTGGGGGCTTGTGCGGCGTCTTGGGGGCTTGTGCGGCGTCTTGGGGGCTCGATGTTTGTGCTATGTTGTGTTTATTTCGTAATTTCTAAGTTTTTGTTTTATTGTTTTCCTTCCAAGAGTGATCAGTGAAAATGTAATAATATTTTACGCTTTTTCTTACCGTCAGAAGCGGCGACGTGTCGGAAGTTTTCTCTCGGTCACACAAACTAGATCTTCGCGTTGAATTTGACGGACCAGTCAACATCGTTCCCGACGGCCGGGCATTAGGGAAATGGCCCTTCCGGTATAGTGCCTCAAGGTTGATAATGGCTGCTCGCCTGCCGTGTGTTTACACACTCAAGTCCTTTGTATACTCATATACCCCCGCCCCCCACCACACCCCGCAAAGTTATTCACAACGTATATTGTGTTAGACTTTGATTACATCCAGTGCTGACGTGGGCTGCTTGTGGGTCTTAGTACTTCCTAGTGACGCGTGTGTCAGGCCTCCCACCTCTACGCTATATATAACGTGTACTAGGAATAGCAACAGTGGCAGACGTGGAGAGGGTGCTACTGTGAGAGATACTAGCACATATGGCTAGTAGGTGGGGGCATAAAGAGCTAGACCTCACGCCCTCATCAATGTAACATCACTGATAGGTAAATACTGAGATGATTGATAAATACCCGCCCCCCCCCCCACTCTTTCCTGACCCGATAATCCCCCCCCCCCCCCGCCCGCCCCCCCCCCAAGCAATAAAGGTGCTGCATTTCCAGGCTAATAACACCTGACCTTAATCACCAGAATAAATGTTAAAATTAGACAAGCCATAAACACGGCAGCTGATGGTACCACCAGCTGGTGGTGGCACCAGCTGGTAGTGCCACCAGCTGGCAGTGCCACTACCCGGTGGCTACACCACTTACGGTCTGAAAACTTGGACTGCCTCAAGTTCCATCCTGGATATTTATTTCAGCTACTCCAGTACATCCTTTATTTCACCCACATCCACTGTCGCCTATTGAAGTCTGGCATCCTTTCACGCGTGCATATGCCCCTTTCTTAATGGTTAACCCCCCCCCCCCCACACACACACACTAGGTGAGTACACAAGCACCCACTAACACTACTCCCCAACACTCCCGGTACCATTTAATTCACAATAACGCCATGGTAAAGTTTCTTAAGAATACGCATTTAGTAATGGTCATGACCCCAGAGGCAGTAGACCAGTCCAAGTGATGCTCCCGTGACCTGCTCCTTCGTCATCATGGCGGTGAAGACCAAGCACTGAATGTTCTGGCATTGATAATGGCCCCATAACTTGTCTGTGAGCGGCCCTTCAGGGCTCTCTCTCTCTCTCTCTCTCTCTCATCTCTCTCTCATCTCTCTCTCTCTCTCTCTCTCTCTCTCTCTCTCTCTCTCTCTCTCTCTCTCTCCTCTCTCTCTCTCTCTCTCTCTCTCTCTCTCTCTCTCTCTCTCTCTCTCTCTCTCTCTCTCTCTCTCTCTCCTCTCTCTCTCTCTCTCTCTCTCTCTCTCTCTCTCTCTCTCTCTCTCCTCTCTCTCTCTCTCTCTCTCTCTCTCTCTCTCTCTCTCTCTCTCTCTCTCTCTCTGCCTGCCTCAGAGCTTGTGAATGGTTGGGTGTTCTCTCTCCGTGTTCTGCCTCAACACATCTTGCTGAAGATCCTTCAGAGTTTTTGCACTAATGTCAATGAATGATCAGATATTCTGGATATTGACCTCGTTGTTTATGAATCAACCTGTTATTTTTTATTTATCAAGCTGTATTTTTTACGGCGTGGCAAATCGAGAGATTTGCCACGCCGTAAAAAATACAGCTGTTTTGTTTGACCAGAAACATATGAACCCGAGCAATCCGCCTTACCATAACGAAGCCAATGCATGGAAAACGTTAATATTTCACATTATAACAGGATGGATTGCATGAATAAATGAATGGTTTGGTTCCTTCACCGCCTCAGAGCTTCTCCGGGATGGTTTTTGTCTTCAGTGGTGGTGAAGCAAGGAACACATTGGCGTCAGTTACCATCACACAAACGTTCATTGTAAATTCTTCGCGTTAGTGCTTGTAAAAGTCCGGAAACTCGTCTTCGTTTATTGTTCCTTGACCCCTGAGATGTGTATAGTGCTCGTGGTCTCTTGAGATGATTTCGGGGCTTTAGTGTCCCCGCGGCCCGGTCCTCGACCAGGCCTCCACCCCCAGAAAGCAGCCCGTGACAGCTGACTAACACCCAGGTACCTATTTTACTGGTAGGTAACAGGGGCATAGGGTGAAAGAAACTCTGCCCATTGTTTCTCGCCGGCGCCCGGGATCGAACCCGGAACCACAGGATCACAAGTCCAGCGTGCTGTCCGCTCGGCCGACCGGCCCCCTTTTCCACATTGCACGAGAAGAATCTCTCCGCCCCTTATCTGGATATCCATATTCCAACCCATCCTCTTGTTTAGATAGTTGTTTATGTAACTATGTGCACTATTGTACACAGATTGACCTTCTAAGCTATTAGATAGTAGAAATTTGTTTTATTCACTTTATTGAGTCGGAAAAAATGAAGCTAAAAAACAAACTTAAATATTCAGGCGATGAGTCACAATAACGTGGCTGAAGTATGTTGACCAGACCACACACTAGAAGTTGAAGGGACGACGACGTTTCGGTCCGTCCTGGACCATTCCCTTCAACTTCTAGTGTGTGGTCTGGTCAACAAACTTAAATATTCATAGGCATAGTATAGTATACATATGTACTACATTAGGCCTGAGATAGTGTGCATTAGGCCTAGAATGGTTAGGCTAGTTTAGTTTGTCTTTCCAACATAAGTAGAACATAGTTTTCCAGTTTGTCTAACTCATTAGTGCCAATTTCCACTTTCTAATTGCTATGTACGTCGGTATATATACTATGGTCCTGATCGTTACTATAAGTACTCTCAAAACAGGAGGATGGGCTGACATATGTTGGTATACTTACCCAAACATAAGTAACATTAGAACAGACGACAGAAAACTTAATGTTTAGCACGAGACACTTTCTATATATACCCAACCAAAACGTATTCATATAAATGTTTAACCTTCGCTTGAAACGGTCCAGTGAACCCACGTATATCACCCGGCAATTTGTTCCATAAGTCATAAACACTGTCCTAAATCCTGTATTTACCCACGTCTTTTCTGAATTAACATTTATACAGATTGTATCCGTTGTTTCGTGTTCTTCTTTGTATTTAAAGAAAATATTCGAAATTTATACCAAATAACGAGCCAAATACCCAGAGTTTGTAGCCTACAGCAAGGCGGATCTGTTGTTTAGTTAATGCTTCTGGAGATATCTGCTCGTTATCTTTGTGGATGATGTTGGTGTGATGACCTTACCTGCCGATAGTGGCACCTGTGGCCCACACCTGCGGCCCACACCTGTGGCCCACACCTGTCGCACATGTGACTGATTATGTGACACGCGACACATGTAACTGATTATGTAACACTTTGAGTCTATTATGTCACACTTGCAAGACACGTTACTAATTATTTGACTATATGATACATTTGTCTGGATATGTGACACAAGCGTTATTATGTGACACACGTGACTGATGACGTGACATGTATGACTATGTGGCACATGACCTCTGTTTTATAGCGTAACTTTCGTCACACAATACTTATCTTGCCATACACACAGTATTCTCCCGGGGACGTATGAAGGCGTCCCAAGACACAGCCATCTTTATGTAAAACACATAAGTATCATGTGTTACTGTTATGAATGTTCTTGTAACACGCGATAACTACCATCAAACTGTTCTCATGTTAATTGTCACGTTATAATTCATATGTCCACACATTATAATTTTGGTAACGTTACAAAAGCTCTCCTTCCAATATATAACAATTAGATAACATTAACAGAGCTCTTCTTCCAACATACGACAATTAAATAACATTACAAAGGCTTTCCTTCCAACATATGCCAATTACCGCAGAACCACAACTGACAACTCATTTCAGTTACACCACACTGCACAAGACTCACAAGATACACACAACAACAGTTCCCACGGTCACGCATAAGATTCGTGGCTTCGGCATAGCAGGTGGTGTTAAGTGGTGCATCATTCGTGCAGCATCAGAGGGCATGGAATATTAAACCAATCCCGTCCTCACGCCTGCCACTCACCGTTCCGGTTCATTTGACTGGGTAAGGTCACCTTGTCGCGAGGCTTCGATACTGCAGGGGGGTCGCTATGGTCCGCTTCAAGCAAGGTGACGAGGTGTTCAGGTGCCGTACATGGCCGACCTCGAACTTGTTTTCTGGTGTTGGTGTTCTAACATGTCCCAGAAGTTGTGTTAAAAGGCTGCTTGGTCATGTGTGGTGTTTAGAGTTTTGTCCTGAGACCTGCTTGATACCTGCTTGATGGGGTTCTGGGAGTTCTTCTACTCCCCACCTGTGTCAGGTGTTTGTCCTGAGACCGTGTCAGGTGTTTGTCCTGAGACCGTGTCAGGTGTTTGCCCTGAGACCTGTGGCAGGTGTTTGTCCTGAGACCGTGTCAGGTGTTTGTCCTGAGACCGTGTCAGGTGTTTGTCCTGAGACCGTGTCAGGTGTTTGTCCTGAGACCTGTGTCAGGTGTTTGTCCTGAGACCTGTGTCAGGTGTTTGTCCTGAGACAAACGTGACAGGTGTTTGTCCTGAGACAAACGTGTCAGGTGTTTGTCCTGAGACCGTGTCAGGTGTTTGTCCTGAGACCTGTGTCAGGTGTTTGTCCTGAGACAAACGTGTCAGGTGTTGTGTCCAGGGGTAACGTGTGTCAGATATTGAGTGTCGAGATAACGGGTGTTGTGTGTTAGAGATGACATGTGCCTTTTCGTTGTTACCAATTTATGTCTCCTTTCAGTGATAACACAAAAGACCCAAGAGAGAGATGCGGTAATACGTTAACACCCAAAATAATCAACTGTGTGAATTTCAAAACGTCAGCCCATCCTCCAAAAGTAATAGTACTTACAAATAACTATTGGAAAGTTCATATTTCGTAATATTGCAGTGGTAAAGAGTGAAACAATAACTATACAACATAACGTAATCTGTTCTAGGCCTAAATATCCTTCGCCTGATATCTTAGATACATCTGATATCTTATGCTATCTTAGGCCTAATTTCGTGTATGTATTATAATAGGCTTAGGAAAGTTTAAGTTCGGTTATTGTCTTCTTTCTCGTGCCCTCTGCGAAATTAATAGT